CGCTGATTCCTCCTGTGGCCAAATCGGAGCCAAAATCCCAGCCAAACGGCCGGAATGCACGGCCGAAGCCCAGCGACGCCGCCGCGCCCTTCTCGGTTTTTGCCTCCGATGAGGCCCTTCCCGGCCTCCGTTTGATGCAAATTTTATATCACCGTGATCACCACTCTTTTCTCTACAGGTTGACCAGAGCCGAATCACCAAAACACGAACCTCGCCAGAGAGCCGCCGCACCCGAGAGCGCCACCGCCGGTAAGCTCTGTTTTTTCGTGATTTTTTGGCCCCTCGAGGGCCCTAGGGTTGTTTTCTCGCAGGGACCGATGCGAGTGTGGCCGAAAATAGCCAACCCGAGGCGAATCGCCGTCGCCGGAGCACGGCGGAGCTGCCGTGCCGGAGTTGCGATTTGGGCCAAAAGGGGCCCTGGGCCTAATTTGGGATTTTTTTGGAACACGTGCAGGTACCAGTAGTGCGTTTCAGTTCCCCGAGGAAAATTAAGAGAAAATTAGGGACAGCTTGTAGGCGCACTGCGAAGCCGTGTTCAGAACCCGAAACGAGTAAGGACCTCTCACCCTATTTCCTATCACGGTTTTAAAGTTCAATAAATGATAAAACGGTATTTCATGAATCAACGAATGTGTGAAATTGCTTAAGGTCGCTAATGGAGCCCGAGTCTAGTGTATTTGTCGGTTAACTGTTATTTGGCCTGTTTTACAGTCTTCGATGCAGCATGAGGTTCGATGTTTTCATTTTATGGTTTCGTATGCATATTGTACTGTTTTATTGATTATGGATTGAATGACTGGGGTGTTGATACTGCATGTTGTCTGTTTGGCATAAATTATCGTTTAACTTGTTTGTATGTGATTGAAAATGCTGACTGAGGGAAAAGGCGAATGAAAGATTACGTGAATGGAAATTGTATAATGTGTTCAGCCTGACTAGATATCCTGTGAGATGGTGGACGGACCGGGTCCGTAGGGAACACTACCAGGATTGTGGTCTCCCATACCGGACGGGGTATGGAGATCTTATGTGTTTTGGCGCCCATACCGGACGGGGTATGGGGACGGCCCGTTTCACCCTTATACCGGACGGGGTAATGAGGTCTATGGTTTGGCGCCCATATCGGACGGGGTATAGGGACGGTCCTGGAATATGATCTCAAGTGTTAAGGATTAACGGGTAGCGGGACCCCTATGGATCCCCATAGATACTAGTGGGCTGGTGAATTAGAAAAATATGTTGTGAAACTATTGAATTACGAAGAGTGTGATAGGTATTATGTTATACAGTTCATATATATGTTTTTCATGATGATGATGATGTTATTGCTTTCGTATATTATTTTATGAATTTACCGAGGTGAGTAAATGGTAAAGGTTTTATTTTCGATAAAAGGATTTGTTGTAAATTATGCTCCATTGGTCTTTTTGTGTTTTTCTACCCACCTTTACCTCCGTGACGGTGAAATATCGTGATATCTTTACTGGGCTAGTGTAGCTCATTCCTTATTTAATCATTTCAGATCAAGAGGACATCGTTCCCGAGCCGCTTCCGCAGGAGAACGACAAAGGGGACGCCTAAGGACTCCATAGTCACATTCGTAGTTTTTACTTTCAAGTTTCTTCTTTAGGTAGTTTAATCTTTTATATTTTGTGAGCACGTTTTGATTTTAATGTAAGGGATGTTATTCAAATTTTGACTTCGCTTCCGCATTTGATATTTTTAATATACACTCCATTTTAAATTTTCGGGGCCGTTACAGCCAACGTGGCCTGTCTCCGGTCGACGTAGTTTTGCCACGTGGCAGGTCCTGGTTGGCCAGGACTGCTGACTGGGTCTGCTGGCGTGGCTGCTGACGTGGCGCGTTTTTTTTTTCCCCCTCTTTCCGGGCATTACAATTATACTCATAAACACGTACATGAGCCCAATGTAACATGATCGTGGCTACTAGTTTGATATATTAAGTTACATACCAATGCTATATTTATGGATGGAGGTTGGTGGTTATCTATCTAAACTAGATAAGAAGAATGTTGCTTGCATGAATGACGCGAATACCATCATTGAATTATGCGGGGGTGACGAAATTGATATTACCATGTGGAGATCTTAAACTACCATTGTGATAGTTAAAAATGTTATTCTTTATATTTCATTATCAATAAAAAAATTATTAGAATTTAGTTTAGTATTTAATTGTGTACTTATTACGTCACTTTTTTTTTTTAGTATTTTTTAATTTGAATCGGGTTCCCACAAATTCTAATTAAGTTACTTATTCATGCATGAAATATGAAAATTTTTATTACACATGATGGTTTATTTTTTACCGGAAATTTAATGTTTATTACCTTTTTTTTTTTTTAGCAACATGACTAACTGA